GTCCACCTTCCTTTTTATAAATTCTTAAATGGTAGGTAATGACACCAGAATTATGAAATTTTATGGAAATTTTACAGAATTACAAAAGTACACAGTTTGCAATCTGGGTGCAATTTATGCATCAGTTAGTGCTGTAGTCAGCCAAATTCTTAGCTATTTCACTAATATGCCTTCAATTCTGTTGATTGAGCACAAGAAATTACCAATTCAGTTATTACTACTACCCTAAATGCAGAGATTTCTCTGACTTGGCCAATTTTGCTCCAAATTAAAAAAAATACGAATTTAAAATTAGTGCAAAATAAACGATATAGATATTCCTGGCACTAAAACATTTTCCCCGTTCATTAATCACATCCCCAGGCCTCCACTATATTACACTTGCCTTCCATTTTGAATTCATAATCACACAAAAAATAGGTTTTCTTTTCCTAATAAAATATAACCAGGAATGATTGGTTATGATTTACAGCATCCCAATAAGTGAATCAAGACCTATTAAAAACCCATAAAACAGACTTGGGTGTGCAAGGGTACTTGCCTGTCCTCAGGGAAAATTGGCAAAAATAGAACATTTCTGCTACTTTGAGCCCAATTTCAAGGCACTCCCTGTACTGACCAACCAAAATCTTCTCTATTTCAGTAGTATGACTTCCTTTCTATCAGATGATACCAAGATAAAGCCAGTAAAACAACAAAAAGGCTATCCTAGAAAACTGTCACTATTTTAAACCAAACGTGTGGTCAGTTTTGCTTTTCCGATCATGCACCACAAGGGGGCAGGATTTTTTTTATACTGTGCACACTCGCTGTGCAGACCCATTATCTCATATCAAGCCAAAATTTACTGCTCACAGCTTATCTGAGCTTATGATGTAGAAGTACACTAGAGACCAATGTTGTACACAAGGGCCCCACTTTACTGCGTTTTGCCTCACGGTGTTCTGCTAATACGCCGATTTCAAATTATGACCAAAATTTGCTATACGGTGCGCCCCACCTGGTTTTACATTCTCCATGAGTACATCTCTATTGCATCAGGAAACTTTCGAAAATTTCAAGTGTGTTCAAGTTAATGCACATTTTATATGTGCAGTGGCACCCAAGTTTCGGCCACCTCCCAACTCGAACAATTATGTAAGTGTATTATAGTAAGTGCTCTTGCAAGTGTATTTTTGGGGGTCTGAAATGGACTAATCTAATTTACATTCCTCATGGGAACAAATTCGTTCAGTAACGGCACTCGAACAGCCTTCTGGAACGAATTATGACTAAATCTCTGGGTTCCACTGTACTGATAGTTATACTTGCGTACCTGTACCTAAATATACTTAAACTGTGCTGGCATGCAGGTACGCATTAAAATCACCAAGAGTGTGTGTACTCTTGATGCCATATTAATAATAATACGTAATCTCTTGGGCGCATTAAATGTCGTATATTACGTTAATATAGACATTTCCATTAATCCATCTATGATGTATTTTTTTTTTTTTTCAAAATTTTATAATAAGCGTGCTACATAAAATATAAACATGATAAATACAGTGGACTCCCGACTTAAGATATTAATTCATTCCAGAAGTCTGTTTGGGTGCCGTTACCGAATGAATTTGTTCCCATAAGGAATATTGTAAATTAGATTAGTCCATTTCAGACCTCCAAAAATACACGTACAAAAGCACTTACAAAAATACACCTACATAATTGTTCGAGTTGGGAGCTGATCGTAAGGTGGGGGTCCACTGTACACCCCACAGTATAATAAATTAACATAAATTCAAGATGTGGTAGCCAGGCGACTTGTAGTTCATCAGAGAAAATGTGGGTAACTAGAAAATTATTCATTATGTATGCCTTCACTCAGCATCAGTTCTTCTCAAAAATGGTGTTACATGAGAATTGGAGTGTTTCTCTTTATTTATTCTACTGTATCAATGTGGAGACAACCTGTTTACATTACGTGTGGGTGGTGTGGGGAGGGCTGCCCTGGTTGGCTGCCATACTTCACAAATAAGTCACCTCTTGTCCTACATTAAGACAACAAATACTTTAAGGTAATTAATGAATGTACTGTATGTGTATTTTATTGCTCTGGGGTGCTTTAATTAAATGCCATAGTATATTATGTGTGGCTGGGGTGGGGTGAGCTGACTTGGCTGGCTACCATACATCCCAAACTTGACTTCCTACAAATAAACCTCACCTCTCACCCTACATTAAGACTTCAAATATTTTAAGTAATGGGTGTATTGTGTGTGTATTTTACTTTTAATTGCTCTTAATGCCTAGTTCTATTGTTAACTTAATATATGTTAGTGTAAACTTATCTGGCATTTATATGCATTTATAAGTGGAGAAAAATGGTGTTCTGGTTTACCGCAGTAGCTTGGAACCTAACCTGCCATATAATTGGGGCCCTACTGTAGTTCTACGTGACTGCCACTGAAAGGGTAAAGTGTAATCATGTCAGATGACATTTCATTTAGAGAACACAGTAAGGCAAATGCTACAAAGGCCAGAAAAATGACAGAGTGGGTAATGAGATCTTTAATAATCAGGGTAATAATGCTAATGGTGACTATTCAAAATTTGAGGTGAGGGACCAGAACAATAATTACAGTGGTACCTTGACTTACGAGTGCCCCAACTTACAAGTTTTCCGAGTTATGAACCGTCACTCGGTCAATTTTTTGCTTTGAGTTGGGCCAAAATCTGAGTTACGAGTGAGCTTCAGATACGCTGCCACTCGCAGGCGATACTGAGAAAAAATATCAAAAACCTTGATAATGACCAATGTGTAACAAACTTTCAATTTTGATACCACTGGTAGCGTCATCCTGCCAGAATGTTCTATAACATATGCTGTAAGTAAAGAGAGAGAATTCTGGAACATGTGTAATACATGTTCGGCAGGCTACCTGGTTGGGTGGCCAGCTTGCTGGCCGGCTGATTTGCTTTGGCTGTCTCCTTCTGTCTGTATTAATCTCTGTTTCTGTATATCTGTCTCTATCTCACAGGTATACAAAAATAGTTATACAGAGTGTAAATTACCTAGGATAACCCAAAAAATCCAGACAGTGCTATACTATGCTTGTAGATATAAGGCATAATAAGCATGACTGGCAAGTAATACACAGGAATCAGACATGACCAATTCTGCATCATGTGTAATACCTGTTGTCTCATGAGTGGCTCTGAGACAGACAAGTAGAGACAGGAAGACAAGCAAAGACAAAAACAAATAAGCAGAGACAGATAAACAGACAGACAGCTAGACACAGACAAGTAGACAGATAGAAACAGATACAGAAACACAGACATGTTTATTTGTAACAGTGAAAAATAAATCCAAGGCAGTGCACAGTCGTCAAATGTCACTCTGCGAGTGTCGCTCCACTAGCAGTGGAATAACACTTATCTTACACCGTGCTTCAAGGAGTTTCATATATACTCCAGTATTTCTAAAACATTGCTGGGACCTGGCAAAAAAGACAAAAATCATTTATTATTTATAAATATATTTTTCTTAAATTTTTTTTTGGGGGGAAGGGGGGGGGGGGCTGGAACAGATTAATGGCTGTGAAGTCTTGCTCAGCCCTGTAACAATTTCAGTCAGTATTACCAAGGCTGGCTCCTCAGGAAAATTAATGCATAGAAAAAGAACAAAAACTGATAAACATAAACACTATTATTTAGAAAATATAAAATGTAAAACACTTAAATATGAAATATTGATCCTACCTTAAAGAAAATGAAAAATGAAAAATATAAATGATACCTGAATTCAACGCTAATATATATAAAACTTGGGTGTCTGGTGTTGGTGACACTGCGTGTTGTTGAAATCGTAGCCATTGCTGATGTGGGGGAGGGGGTCGCAGGTGTTGGTGACAACCCACCGGCTCATTCTTTAGAGTCTATAGCCGTAAAATAATCTATCCAGATGACAGGAAAACAGGTTCTTTACCGCTGCAATGATGAGGGGTTACGTCCTGATTCTTCATACACGTGCACAGGCAAGTAGATAAAACATGGGACGTCTCAGGACGTTAGTCCGTCTCCTTCAATTCTACTCGTTGGCTGGCAGGTGACCCATTCTGTCATTCCAAGCTGGAAAGAGACAGGTTACCCACTGCTTAAGAAATCACTCTCCATGATAAGTACAATACCTAAAAGACGTGGTGATTATTAAGACATTTAACAGAGCAAGACTGAAAGGACTAAGTTTATTATTGGTCAAAAGTGAAGCTTTCAACCAATAAGTCCACTAGAATATGAGCAGGCATGTACTTACAGTAGTGCTGGGAGCTGTGAGTCGAGTGATTACTGTTTGGCCGGAACCCCACACATCACCTTTCGGGGGGGGGGGGGGGGGATAGCGGGAGCTAGACTTACCCTACCTTAACAAGTAGCCAGCAATCAAACTATTGTTACTATATACTTCCTCGCTACTCCTATCTATTGAACTTTTCCCTCACAATGGCATTTCAATTAATTTCAGTGAGGAAAATTGATTTGATATACGAGCAAACTGAGTTACAAGCTGGATCACAATGAATTAAACTCGTAAGTCAAGATACCACTGTATATTTAATTCCTCTTGTATGCTTTTGTTAGTGATGTTTACAAAATAAGCACTTAACAGAGATGAATCCATTGTTTGAGCCATAGTGGTGTTATTACCCCCTATTTCCCCCTTTTTAATACATAAAAAAGGCAAAATATTATAAGGTGCACTGTGTTATTGTTGCGTTGAAAAGGTGTGGCAGCTCCTAGTTGCCTGTTTAGCTCAGGGGTTAATATGGCCTTTAGTTTCTAAAAAGCAGTGCCTATGCATTCCTGTACTTCGCATTTTCCTGCCTTGCAAGTTTTTTTTTTTTTTTTTTACATACAGAAAATAATGACAGTGATAACCTGTATTTTTTTTACAGCAGATATTAAAGAATCAGCTTCTTCACCAGTAATATCCACTTACTAAACTTCATTTAATATTTCAGCTCGATGTGGTTGCCTTTGCCAACCTTGCACAAGTTGTATATATGGACAAAGAGGTAAGCTACTCCCTCCGCGACTGGATGGCTGAAAATTGTCCGAACTTGGTAGAATTCTGCAATCGAGTAAAGGACCAAGCATTCCCCGACTGGGAAGAAATGTGCACAAACTTGGATCTAAATTCTCATTTACCAAAGCCACCTCCAGAGGAAAAGGTTGAGGAGGTGGCAGCAGAAAAGAAAGATGAGAAGTCAAAAGAAGAAGAAAAGAAGGATGAGAAAGAAAAAGATGATACTGAAAAGGAAAAGGCCCATAAAGATGAGAAGGAAGGGGAAAAAGAAGACAACAAGAAAACGGAAGAGAAGGAAAAGGAGGAAGAGAAAAAGTAAAAAGTGTGATTATTCAAAGTTGTTGAAAGCAGTCAAGAACCAAATCTATTTGTAATATATGTGATAAATGTTGTTTGAAGTATTTTTTTTATTTGCTTGATACACTTTGTATAGATCTTCTTGTTAGTGTGGAACACAAGCACCTCCCCGTGCCGACTTAGTCGTTAACGTTTTGGTGGCCACTATCAGAAATAAGCTCGTTCTTACCTTCATTGTTTACGGGAGAGTTCAAACAGTAAGGACGTGAAATATTTGAGGGGGAAGGGGGGGGGGTTGGGTGGGAGTGGTCCAAGCTGGAGGTTTCCAGTTGGGCTTGTACATTAAAGGCTTTGTAATTGTTGGGGTTTTAATGTTTTAGGTAAGTTTAGTCCCACATTTCCCGTTTTCCTTTGCCTTGCCGTTTGAATTGTTACCAATTCTCATCGTAGAATTCTTTGGTCTCATTATATGTACTGTAGTTGACAACCTGACGGCTCATTTTCACTGAAGGTAATGACAAGGATTTTATTCAGAATTTTAAATAAAAATGTTGAAGGTTGGAACTGGTGGAGTCATATTATCTGTGTGGCTTGCATAGATTGTAGGTTTATTCCATATGAGTTTTAGTTAAATGAGTTTAAGAGCAGTATTATTCATGGACCATGAGTTTGTAATTTTTGCTACCATGACAAAAATTTCTTTATTCTCATTTTTAATCACTTTTGTAATATTAGTTTGTACATTACTAGCTTTTAATATGGCATCTAGAACATTATGATAGTTTTTACACATGGAAGTTATTTTGTAATAAGGAAATACTCATTTTATAGGTTCTCTTTGATACGAGGGGAAAAAATTTCCCACCGCTTTTTGTGATAGGAATGCTCATTAACCAAGTCATTGGTTTATCTGGGGTTTTTGCCCAGAAACACTGCCTTGCTGTAATTTACCTGATAGTTAAGTGTAAACCTATTCTAGTATGAATATGCAAGTGATCTACAACCCTCAGGGTTTAGATTCTGGTTACTGAGAGCCAGCAAGACATGTGAAGTGAAGGTTCTAAAGCATGACTGATATTATCCATGACACAAGAACCCTAGATAGCCCAGGCTTGGCAGTTTGCAAAATTGAAACAATCCAAAGACAGTGTCATGGCACCAAAGTAGTGAATAGGGACCAGAGTGCCGCACAATCAAAATTATGATAAGGCACAAGGACTTTAGCGGTGAGACATGAGTGCTGAGAAAGCAAAATATATATATATGGCATTTCTAAAGAATTTTATACTAAAGGAAGTTGCACAGTATTTTTGGTCAATTGTGCTGTGATAACCTGAACATCAGTTTTGTAAGAAGTGCTGAATAGAAGTAAGCCATTCATACAATGAACTTTGTAGCCTTGTGCTTAGTCCAAATTGTAAAGATTTATCCTAAAATTGCTACTGTTTGGCTAGATATTGCCCTAGAAGTCTTGCTAGACCCTTCAGAGTGTATGATACCATGTTTGTACCCTAGCTTTTGTACACTTGGTACCTTAAGGCTTCAGCATTCGTGTAGTAGGTGATATATCTGGAATTTTTATTATAGGCACATAAACCATGGTTATCATGTATACACAGACATATTTATGTTCCTCAATAAATGTATCCTTTTAGGAAAAGATTAATTATTTAATCCTGTGGAGAAATTAATGATTTAGTCTACACAATGGCACAAACCATTTAGTAGGTAACTGGCTCTTAGTAAGATTGTCCAGTGCCTTGTTGGCTGGACAGAATATTGCATACCTTATTAACCTAGGTAACAAATTGGCTTCAGTAAAAATGGCGAGTTGTTAGATAAGGAGACAGCAGTAGTGCAAGTACCAGTCAACATAACCTGCGAGTGGTTTAGAGGTTTCTGTTTGCTGTTTGCCCTGAGGCCCAGTCTCCATATTGACTGTTTTATCAACTCTGTCAAAGTGCTGTGCATGCAGGCTGGCACTTCGATAAGGGGTTTACTGGTAGCAGGCTGAAATCTGGATGTGTTAACACTTGCCTATGGCTTGGGTGCCTTTCATGGTTTATTTTACACTTTTAATGTAATATGTGAAATGTGAAAAAATACTATGCATGGGGTGAGGAAGAATGGGATAGATATATTTAGAGATTTTGAAGTTGGTTGATGATATACAGTAGAACTTCTGCATTTCTCTTGCTGATTACTACTGGTATATTCTGAGTAAAGTATAGATTATGTAAAAGAAAACTGAGGGAGGTTCCTTGATGCTGTGAGAGGCTCCTGATCTAAGGAATTGTTGGACTTTTTCTTTCCTTGGATTGAGCTGGATTGTTTCCGTTTCCTAAACAGTGTATTATTCCTACAGGTTTAGCAATCCCCCTCCCCTCCTCTTCAAGGGGGGCTCCTTGGCATGGTTAAGAGGCTCTTGGTCTGAGGAATTAGACCTGCTGGTCTCCTTCCTCAGACCAAACCTAATTACCCCCCAACCCCCCTTCCCTATCCCATCCTCCCCCTTTTCCTTTCCTCCTCCTCCCCCCCCCCTCTGTCCCTCCCTTATTCCCTTCCTCTTTTTGGCCTTTGGGATTCTTCCCACAGGCCTACTGGTTCCTAGGTAGGGAGAAGGGTACCGGGGTCAATCCCATTCCGGCGAGGTTCTTGGCGGTGGTGCAGTTTGCCGTGGAATTTAGATCGCCTGGGGATATCCCGTTCCCCCTCTGGTCTTCTGGGTGGTGGCTTTGGGGTGACGAGTGTATCTCTGGAGGCCGCCTTTTGGATTCTGGGGGTGGTGGCCAAAGGAGGTATGCTTTGTTGCGGATATCCGGCCGCCCTCTCTTTTGTCCACCGAGTAAGCTTGGCAGATGTGAGGTTGCTATCCTGGATTGCTGATTTACTGGCATGAAGGGTAGGGTATGGCACGGGTTCCATGCTGCATCTGCGCTACTTGCGGTGTTGAGGTCCTCTTGGGTCTGACCTCCGCCCTCCTTTGACTATGCTTCCGGCCTCTCCCTCTACGGTGCAGCAATTTTCGAATCACCAGCCTGTCCCACGTCGGACCAACTCTGGTCTCGCTTCTCAATGCCAACGACAATCTCCTGATGATGTTACTTCGTTACCTTCCCATTCTACTCGGAAAAGACCGACACGTCATGCACTCCCTCTCCACGCTCAGTTTTGGACCACACAATGGACTAAATTCTTTACTTTACGACCGACTTCTTCTATTGCTTATCTTTCCGACCATAGTATTGGCAAAGTGCTCCTACACCATGTCGGTAGAGATTTCATTTCATGCTCTCAAGAGCGGTACGTGCATTGTCACTGTCCAGAATGCTACCCAAGCTCATGATCTTTCTCTCCTTTCACATATCAATACTATTCCTAACACTATTGAAAAACATCACTCTCTCAATTTTTGTAGTGGTACTGTCATTCTGCCCCATACCAGAGTCCAACAGAATTTCCAGAAATGTGGCAATGACATTCTTGAACAGCTGGAACTCCAGGATCTCTCAATCCTCAAAGTAGACACTTATGTCCTTCCTGCCCGCGGGTGGAGATTAACTTTCGACAGCCGTGAACTCCCGTCCTCTGTTTATGTCGCAGGACATCGGTTACAAGTTCGAAAGGTGATCCCTACACTGCGAAAGTGTAGAAATTGCTGGCGATTTGGTCACCCAGTGAAATATTGCAGATCTATAGCCGAATGCCCAGTCTGTGGTGCCGACGACCATTCTAATAAGTCTTGCAGTTGACCTCCCTCTTGCATTAATTGTCATGAGGCTCACCCTTTGTACTCTCGCTGTTGCCAGGTCTACTTAAATGAGCGTGAAATCTGTTGCCTCAAAGAAGCAGGTCTCCCTTATGCTATGGCAGTTTCTCATCTCCGCCTCCAAGGGAGACTACCCCATGTTTCTTATTCTCTCGTTTCAAAATGTCCCCCACTTCTGGGGTCCTATTTTCTGCAGCCTCCTCTGTTGTTACCCCTCCCATAGTCACTCCTGTATCTAATTCTTTTGCTGTCCTGGGCTCAGACGTCTCTACTTCAACACCTCAGTCTGTTCTGACATCTTCGAGTTCTCACTCGCAAGCCCCGGTATCGACAAGATCTCGTACGACACCTACCAATCACCCCTCTACTTTTCAGAAGTCCAAAAAATCCCTTATGCTCAAATCATCCTTGCCCCCTCCTTCCCTTCTTCCTCCCCCACATTTTACCTTTCCAGTCTCTGTACCTGGTTCTTCCCCTCACTGGCTCTATTACAAGTATGGAGACTCACCCCCATCCTCATTCTGTGCCTCCCTCCCAAGTCTCTCCTCTTCTGCCACCTCCCAGGTTTCTGCCTCTTCTGTCCCCTCCCACACTTCTTCTCCAGTTCCCAACACACTTTCGTCCCCCCTACTTTAGTACTGTCCATTACTGTCCTAATCTTTACTCACCCTCCTCCTTCTATCTCCAATATTGTCTCCCATACAACATCTTTGAATTCAGAAACACTTGATGCTATTTCAGAATATATTGCAGAGACTAAACCTTCAATGAACACTGATCCTGTTCCTTCTCTTCCCTCTCCTACATCTCCATCTCCACAACTCCATTCTTTGCAACGCTCCGTTCCTTCGCTGCTTGAACGTCTATCGATACCACCACACGTAGACTTTTCTAACCCCTCTAGTCTGTAGATGCCCTTCCCTATGGATTCCTGGTATTTTCCTCGTTGCCAGTCATGGCCTATTAACAGTGGAATATCTGCGGCCTCAGGGGTAATTGGGGTGAGCTTCAGTTGTTGCTTTCTAGGTTTTCCCCTGTTGGTGTTTGCTTACAAGAACCAAAATTACACTCAGCTGTTTTCCAACCTATCTCAGGCTATAATTTATTGTATTCTTCAGATCCTTTCTCAGATGGGACCTTTAATGAAAGTACCCTCCTATGCAATGATATTCCATACTGTCAACTATTTGTCCATACCTCGCTGCATTACACTGCAGCCCGTATCCACTTGGATAAGTGGTTTACAATATGTTCTTTGTCTCTCTTCTTCTCGGGCATTTTCTATCCCAGATTTTGCCTTTGTTTCATCCTTATCACGACCACTTTTGTTACTTGGCGATTTTCATGCCCACCATTTCCTCTGGGGGGTCTCATTGTGACTCGCGTGGTATTCAGTTGGAAGCTTTTCGCGCCTCCCACCCCCTCCATGTTTTAAATATGGGTACTACTCATTTTGATCCTCATACTCATACTCTCTCTTGCATTGATCTATCGGTCTGCTCTTCCTCCACTGCACTAGACTTCACCTGGTCTGTTCTACCAGACTTACATGACAGCGATCATTTTCCAATCATTCTTTCTTCTCCTTCATATTCACCACCTTTCCGTAGCCCTCGCTGGCAATTTGATAGGGCAAATTAGGACCTTTACTCGCAACTCACTGCTTTTAGTGAGGCTCCTTCTTCATCCTCCATTGATGAGCTCCTACACCTCTTCTCGACATCAGTTTTAACCACAGCTTCTCATTCTATACCCCAAACCTCAGGCAGGCATTTTCCGAAGTGCATGCCTTGGTGGTCTCCTGCTTGTGCTAGTGCAGTACATTTAAAAACGCTGCATGGGGCAGGTACCGGTACAACATAACCGATGAGAGACTTCTTGATTTTAAGCAGAAGCATGCAGTTGCTCGCCGTGTCATCCGTGATGCTAAATGCACTTGCTGGTGAGATTGTTTCCACCATCACCTCTGCTTCCTCTAAGAGTGCAGTCTAGAAAAAAAGTGAGGAAACTGAGTGGTAAATACTTCCTGACCCGGCTCCTGTTCTACGGGTCGCCGGTGTTGATATAGGAAACCCTCTTGACGTTGCCATTGAAATTGGTACTCATGTGGTCCGTATTTCCCGGGTGCTCCGTCTATGCCCCTCGTTTCTTTCCTCAGCCTGCCAGAGAGTTAGTACCCTTGGACTTTTCTTCTCTTCGGGAGCTGGAGGCAACACACACAGCTTACCGATCATCGGCAGCTGGGCCTGACTACATTCATATTCGGATGTTACAACATTTACATAAGTCAGCCCTTAGTCCTCTTGCACCTCTTCAATCTTATTTCGTTACAAGGAGTTCTCCCCCAGCTGTGTAAATCTGCCATTGTTCTCCCTTTCCGCAAGCCGGGTACTACGGCACGTGATGCCTCCCACTATTGTCCCATTGCTCTTACTAGTGCAGTTTGCAAAGTGATGGAACATCTGGTAAATCAATGTTCTCTCTCTAAATACCACATTAAACAGTCTCTCCACTAGTCAATATGGCTTTCGTAAGGGCCAATCTACCATAGACCCCTAACTACGCTTGGATACGTATGTTTGTAATGCCCCTGCGAACAACCACTCTGTTATTGCCATATTTTTTTTACCTTGAAGGCATATGACACAACTTGGATTTATAATATTTTGGCTCAAGCCCACTCCATAGGCCTCCGAGGCAATCTACCATATTTCCTTAAGAACTTTTTTAACTGACAAACATTTCCGTGTTCGAGTCAATAATGTGCTCTCCCCGGACTTTGTCCAAGCTGATGGTGTCCTTCAGGGATGTGTTCTGAGCACAACACTTTCTCTCCTTGCTATAAATGATCTGGCCTCTGTTCTTCCATACAATATTTGGTCATCACTCTG